CCCTGTCTTTCCTCCCTGTCTTGCTAGTTTGTTGCAGCTACAAAATTAAATGCTTATTATAACATAAATCTCTGTTTTCCAGCTTGCTTTGTTACAGGGATGGGAATGAAATGGCAAATTCTTATTACGAATGTCTTGTTATAGAACTGTAAACCACCAATTAGCATTGTTTCATGCCTTTAATATTATAGTTATGGTCATCGTTTTTCCCCATCAGTTTTCATATATACATTATCTAGCACATTATGCATATGTTATTTAAGCATGCGATCCTGCACCAGTGTTGTGTCAGTGTTTTCTGTTGCAAGTAGTGGAATATTGAATAAAAGTCATGTTCCTCTTTGTCCATTCTTAGGCCTACAAGATGGTGCTTTTCCTATTTAGCTTGAGGTTTCTCATGAGCATTGCAATATCTTCCAGGGATTATTTATCTAAAAGGCAAATGAGGAGAGGGCTATTTATCTGTTACAGTTAGCATCTGGAATAAGCAATAGGGAAAGTCTTGTCTTGCTTATAGGCAAGGCACAGGAGGAAAGAATTTGAATGATAGAGACATGGTGTGCTTTGGTTCCCACCTTTATGTGGTGAGTACATTTCTGATTTCAAATTACAGCTTTTGGGGATTCTGGAGCAGTTTTCATCTCAGCTGGTAAGAGACTCAAACACATATATCTCATGCAGTTTGATGTAGCTCATATCAAGTTACATCCTACACACTGTGAAAAATTCTAGTCTGTCACTGCTAAGAATGTTTATACGGAAGTTATTTACTTCCACGTGCAATTAATTGTTGTTCCTTTTGGTTAGATTCCAGGAAAGGGTGTTACCAAACCAAGCTCATTATGACTGAGGGCAGAGTTCAAAGCCTCAGCCAACTGTGGCTCTAAACAAGGAGCTGGCCAATGCCTGGCAAATGTACCGTGACTAGGGGAAGGGGCTGTGTTGCCGTCAGTAATCGCAAGTGCATTGGACTTCAGGAAGGAGCAGGGAAATGCGTCAGTGATGAATCCCTGGTTATGAGGCAAAGAAGAGATGGCTGGTTGTTAGGATAATGTTTTAAGGCAAACCATGTCCATAAGGAATTCTGTTGCAACCAAGCACCTTGCGAGCTGCAAGTCTCCCAACAGGATGATCCTGTTTCCAAAGCATATGTTTATGCACGTTAAGTTTCCTGCTCTTATGCTGACGTGACTCAAGACGCTCCAAGCTATCATTCTGCAAGGCTCAAAAGATGAGTAATAGTTTGGACAGCTAACATTGAGACACCAGAGTGGTGAGATGGCTGCGGCTCTTTGCTGGCTTTGGGTAGAGAGTGGGAGTCGAAAGCAGTCAGGTAGTTTGGGCATGGCCATGTATTTAGCATGGGTGGCACTCTACCCTCTGGTGGCTCAAATGTTAAGACATTTGTCTATGTTGCAAAAGAAACAGTGCCTCAGGCAAAGAAGCCACGCAAGCAGTTGTAGGTGTTTGTCTTATTTACCCTTTGCAGTTAAGCCTTCAGATAGCTGGCATTATTTTTCAGCCTAACAAAGCTATTAGATAAGAGAAACTGGTGTAATTTATAATGAGACTAACATGCTAAAGGTAAGCCACTAACAAGAGCAATGACCTAATTAAAGAACCACACAACCAAGAATATGTAAAGCTTAGTGTACCCCTGCTTCTCTGTGCATCTCTTGTGTAATCGTGTATAGTCCATGTAAGTTACAGAAAGCATGACAGACCTATAAAAATAAATCATGATCCTTCTCTATTACGTGTGCGAGAACTAGTCAAACATGCTGATGCTAAAGTCAGCCCACATAGGGACAGAAGGTGCTTTTCAGCTTTTAATGTGGTGTAAATTCCCTGGCACGCATGCAGTTGCCAGAGTGATAAAGAGTACCAGTTTTCCAGCATGTAAATGTATGCTGCAATAAACTGAACTGTGATCAAAGCATGAGATGTCATCTCTGAACATGCCAATATTTAAGTGGCACCAAGTTTTTACTCCTTATGTCCTGGCTCTATTTAGATATATTAGCTATGATCATGTAATCATATCTGGCCATAGTTACCCAGGGCACAAATGTCTGTTAGCTGCTTAACTTCAAGGAAATGTATTGGTGATGATATATTTTTCTGAGAAAGACACCAAAAAGTGCAGAGCTTGGCATTATGGTGCCTTACGATCCTCAAGATTTTAAGCTGCAGATCCCCAAATTCTAGAAATGTTGCAAAAAACTAATATGTGCCATGTTTTTCACAAAGGAAAAAAAAAGAAACAAAAACTATGAGGGCTGAAATGAAGCAAATGAGAAGAACACAAAAGTATGAAGTTTTCCCTAGTAGAAAGGCAAGTGAAAAGAAAACTCACTAATTTCACTTTCCAGTGTGAAATGACCATATCCCCAAGGAGGAGAAGCTGTGGAAAAGTATGGTGTCTTCTGTTCATTCAAGCTCTTTGCTTATGTGGCCTGGCCTGTTCTTTCTGTCAAGCAGTATTCTCCTCCTCCAGCTTAAGCAGAAGAACTCTGTAATTATTTATGGATAAATATTCTTTTCTCTGCTTAGTTGTCCTTGTGTATAATACATACTTGTATTTAAATGAATCCTTAAATAATTTATCTTTCTTTATATATACTTAAAACACTCTCTGATATTGGTCTCCAAAATGCTGACTGCAGAAATGCCTTCTGCATCCCGGCTGTGTCTGAACACCTGTTATGCCACTTCAGAGCCTTGTCATGATGAAGGAGGGAAAGACAGTATTCTTGCTCAGGAGGGACTTGAATTTTGAGATAAGAGAGTCTGAACTGGATTCTGGTCTCAAATAGGAGTGAGGAGTGAGGAGTGAGGTACTATAGAGAAGTGGACAAAGGGGATGTGATGTTGAATATCTGGGACTTCAGACAGACAAACTGCTATGCTTAATAGTCGCATGCTATTGTTTTCTCAAGGTATGGATCCATATATATACAGAATTTTAACAGTTAATAGTATGAAAACTACAGAATAGGCAATAATGGCACCAGGAAAAAGGACAAGCATGAGACCCAACCAATTGGAGTGTGCTAACAGTGCCAGAGAGCTACAGAAAACCTCAATGTTCTGCAGGAATTAGGGGGCAGGTGTCTTCAGTAGTGAGGGCTATTACTCAGAAATTATTTATTCAGAGTCTTTTTGTTTACCTGCTGCTACGTCTATTTGTTTTGCCCCAGGTTGAGGTTAGTTAGTGACTTAAATTCCTTTTCAGAAAAGTTTTGAGAAAATTAATGGTGGTGATATTCACATTTTATATGAAGAAGGAAGTCAGGGGGCTATATCAGCACACTGCCATGTTTGTCGCCAGGCCTCACTGGAGGATTTAACCTTTTGAGGGCTGGCAAGGATGGGTGCTGGGACAGTGGATTTTAGTAACTGCAGGTATTTAAAAGGCATTTGCAGGAATCAGATGTTGTTAATGGTCATGATGCTGTGAGTGGGTTCATGTTTTGCAGTCCTGCTGATGCTCCTTGGGCCCAAGGGATCACTTAGAGAGAGAAGCTGTTCCTGAGAAACTCCTAATCCTGCTTGAGAGCCCTTTCGAGGAATTCTGGTCTCCATTCCAGGTGCTACCAAGATACTCAATATTGCTGATACCCGGTGTGAAACATCCCCTGTCTCTCAAGTCTGCTGACCTGCAGCAA